TGTCTATATACTAAAGTAAGTGATAATATAATCACGTTAATATGTCTATATGTTGATGATATATTGATCATTAGCAACAATATAGACGGTATCAAAGAAAAAAAGAGGTTTATATCCTCTATGTTCAAAATGAAAGATTTTGAACAAGTAGATATTATTCTTGGTATCAAAGTTAAAAATGATAGTAGGTGTTTTACATTGAGCCAATCACATTATATTGAAAATGTGATAAATAAGTTCAAGCACTTGAACATTAAAGAGGCTAATACCCCATTAGATCCAAGTATCAATTGATAAATAATGATGATAGAACAAAAGCTCAAATAGAATATGCAAGTGCAATTAGAAGTATTATGTACGCAACACAATATACAAGACCTGATGTAGCATTTGTCGTGAGTAAACTGAGTAGGTTTACTAGTAATCTAAGTTCCGAACATTGAAAGACTATTGGTAGGGTTCTTGGTTATTTAAAGAAAATCAAAAATCTTGGACTACAATATACAAAATTCCCTAAAATCTTGGAAGGATATACTGACGCTAGTTGGATATCAAGTGCAGGAGAAAATAAGTCCACTTTAGGTTGCGTATTTACTCTTAGAGGAAGTGCAGTTTTTTGAAAGATTAAAAAACAATCTTACATTACTCACTCAACAATGGAGTCAAAATTTGTAGCATTTGTCGAAATTGGAAAAGAAGGTGAGTGGCTAAGAGATTTGTTATATGAAATACCTTTAGACAAAAAGGATATTTCTTCAATACTTATCTTGTGTTATAGTCAACCTACTCTTGTTCGAGCTTATAACGAAGTATTTAATAGAAAATCTAGACACGTGAGTATATGACATGAGTATGTAAGGAAATTAATAAAACATGGAATAATTTATCTTACAGATATTAAGTCTAGTGAGAATTCAGCTGATCCGTTTACTAAACCTCTCACGAGAGAGTTAGTAAGATTGACATCTAGTAGGATGTGATTGAAACTCCTTAATTGAATCCACCAATGATAACAGTCCTACCAAAAATAGATTAAACAAGTATATTTAGGTTCAAATGGTAATAACAAATCATTTAATAAGTGGATGGGTTCCAACACTATTAAATTTATTAAACTATATCTTTGCTAAATAGTGTTCGTTGTTACTGTTGGAGGAATGATTTATAATTAAAGCTCTTAATGAAGTTCAGTATAAGGTACAAGTATCTTCTAAAAGTAACAAAAATACTCGAAGAACTTCACATATGTGAACTTCGATGTGGTGCCGCCTCATTAGAGAGTTTGAGTTGTCTCACTTTAGAAGTTCAAAGAAAAAGTATAAATGCAAAGTCATGTTAGCACTAAGCGAGTTAGATGAACTCGTGCAATATAACACTTGTGTGTGTGATTTCATCGACATTGTCACTAGAAATAATAGGTTCAAAGCGTTCTAGCTACATGGAATTTCGATAATGCTTTATGAGATTTACACTATGGTTAGATTCAAATCGAAATATCTAATTCTTATGCATAAATATTGATATTTGATTATGTGATTAACATTGATTTTGAACAAATGAGAGATTGTTGGAATCTTGTTGTTCAAAATTATGGATGGATGAATTGTGGATGTATGAAAAGGAAAAATTGACGCCATGAAAATGGCCTATGCGACCACATAAGACTTTTATGCACGCAGTCGCATAGGCACGATCAGGACATTCAACGGCAACCAAGATTATAGCTATGTGACCGCATAAGACTTTTATGAATGCGATCGCATAGGCGCGATCAGGAAATTCAGCGGCAACCAAGGTTATAATTATGCGACTATATAGTTATAGCTTATGCGGTCGTATAGTTATAAAATTCGACTGTTGGTTGAATTTTTCGTGGTTTTCTTGGTGAAACATTGTACCATTTCTTTATGAGTTTGAACCACTTCGTGTAGGAATGTTTGAAATCTATATATACATATTGGTGTTCATCCAAAATATATGAGAATTCATTATATTATTCATCCAAATTTTGAAGAAATTTCATTCCTTTACATAATCAAAATTTTACCTTTTTCACTTATTCAGTTGAAGATACACTTAGTTTTTGGCGTTCTTCATTAAGGTTTAATAAATCCTACAAACTATTTGCCATTTTCAATCCTTAAAAGTATAATGAGAGGAGGCAAATATTATTTGAGGATAACAATATACTTTTGTGTTCCAAGTATTATGCGAATATTTTTTTCTTCTTCCTCTTCTTTTGTTTCCTTTGTTGGATATTATATTTTGCTAACAAGATCATTGTATAAATTTAATGTAACTCCAAAAATTTATTGAAGCTACCAAATTTATAGGATGATTTAATGTTTTTATAGACTCATGGTGGAAATATACCGCGTCAATGAAAAGTATAAACACTATAAAAACATTATCATTCACTAATTTGAAGTAAATTATACGAGAAAATAATGAGACGAAAACACGATAAAATCAAGATTTATTTTTATTTTTTTATTTACTTTCACTTGTGGCATGGTATCTATTACTTTTCATAAATGGTAGGTAAGAATAACTTCTACTTAGCTAAAAAAAAGTTAGTTTTAAATTATATAAAAAAAGTAAAACATTTCAATATATAGAAGAATAAAAAGTGATCCCTCGACGGCATTCTTTCCTTAGTGTGTCCAAATTGATTTTACCAAAAACTTTATGAGATTTACACTACGGTTAGATTCAAATCGAAATATCTCATTCTTATGCATAAGTATTGATATTTGATTATGTGATTAACATTGATTTTGAACAAATGAGAGATTGTTGGAATCTTGTTGTTCAAAATTATGGATGGATGAATCGTGGATGTATGAAAAGGAAAAATTGACGCCATGAAAATGGCCTATGCGATCCACATAAGACTTTTATGCACGCGGTCGCATAGGCACGATCAGGACATTCAACGGCAACCAAGATTATAGCTATGTGACCGCATAAGACTTTTATGAATGCGGTCGCATAGGCGCGATCAGGAAATTCAGCGGCAACCAAGGTTATAATTATGCGACTGTATAGTTATAGCTTATGCGGTCGTATAGTTATAAAATTCGACCGTTGGTTGAATTTTTTTGAATTTTTGGTGGTTTTCTTGGTGAAACATTGTACCTTTTCTTTATGAGTTTGAACCACTTCGTGTAGGAATGTTAGAAATCTATATATACATATTGGTGTTCATCCAAAATATATGAGAATTCATTATATTATTCATCCAAATTTTGAAGAAATTTCATTCCTTTACATAATCAAATTTTTACCTTTTTCACTTATTCATTTGAAGATACACTTAGTTTTTGGCGTTCTTCATTAAGGTTTAATAAATCCTACAAACTATTTGCCATTTTCAATCCTTAAAAGTATAATGAGAGGAGGCAAATATTATTTGAGGATAACAATATATTTTTGTGTTCCAAGTATTCTGCGAATATTTTTTTCTTCTTCCTCTTCTTTTGTTTCCTTTGTTGTATATTATATTTTGCTAACAAGATCATTGTATAAATTTAATGTAACTCCAAAAATTTATTGAAGCTACCAAATTTATAGGATGATTTAATGTTTTTATAGACTCATGGTGGAAATATACTGCGTCAATGAAAAGTATAAACACTATAAAAACATTATCATTCACTAATTTGAAGCAAATTATACGAGAAAATAATGAGACGAAAACATGATAAAATCAAGATTTATTTTTATTTTTTTATTTACTTTCACTTGTGGCATGGTATCTAATACTTTTCATAAATGGTAGGTAAGAATAACTTCTACTTAGCTAAAAAAAAGTTAGTTTTAAATTATGTAAAAAAAGTAAAACATTTCAAAATATAGAAGAATAAAAAGTGATCCCTCGACGGCATTCTTTCCTTAATGTGTCCAAATTGATTTTACCAAAAATAAAAAAAGTAAAACATTTCAATATATAGAAGAATAAAAAGTGATCCCTCTACGGCATTCTTTCCTTAGTGTGTCCATATTGATTTTACCAAAAGGGGTATGGAAGATAGATCTAGAGAGGGACGTGATCTAACCGGTTGATAGCGAATTGATTCTCGCAATGCCTCATAGGTTTACCAGATGTACGCGGCTTTCCTATGTTCTACTTCGAAAGGGAGGAACGTCGGTTGTAGATGGTTACCACTTTCGGTAAATATTCTAAAATAAAATGTGGATGTTGCTATAAAATGAAAGGAAATTTTTTTGTTAGGGGATTGGAGTTGTTTGTAGAAATCACAAGGGACCGATGATAGCCGCCTTATCCAAATCTACCCGAGGCGTAGTATAACCGCTTATTGGAAAGTGCCTCACTATTTTTGAGGGACTCAATTTTGGGATGGAGTCAGATAGCAATAACGTCATGCAAACCATTCATAATCCGCATATTCATGCTCCTGAAGGAGCTATTCTTAGTAGAATATGATAATGGGTTGTTTCGTTCACAACCTTCAAATGATCTTTCTTTCGATTGTGCCGTGTGAACATCACAATTTAGACGACGTAACGAAATATAATTGAGTCAAAATCTTACTTACCAAATAAAAAAAATCCCTCCAATTTCTTTTTATCATTAACTCACATCACATAAGCATAACCATTTAAGTGATATGATATTTTCATAATTTTAATTTATTGTCGCTTGATCAATATATGAAATAATTTATGAATGATGGCTATGTTTTTTTTTAACATTTTTTGCAATAAAGAAATCTTAAATTCCAGTTGGTGTCAATTTTTGATAATTAATTAATATACATTATTCATTACAACTAGTACTGACCGTGCATGTAAGAGAAAGTTAGGAGAGAGATTTTTGACTTGGCATCTCTTCATATGCAATGACTTCACTGACCGTTGAACACTCAACCCCTCAATAATAATATACTCGAACAAATCAGTTTTACCACAAAAAACCCTTTTCATTTCTCCACTTGCGTGCTCAATTTCAGCAAATAATTGACATAATTATTGTTTTAATGTCCATTTTTTCCCTTTTGCTAAGTAATTACTATTTCTTTGACTTGTGATTTTAACTTCTTCAGATTGATTTGAGATCCATTTTTGGATTAGGGTTTTGAGTTATTGTGGTTATGGTTGACTTTTTTTGTAGGTTTTGAAGTGGAGGTCGGTGGTTGTTTAGCATTCGTTTAGTATAGTAGTGCGGAAACATATAGGTTTTTAATGGAGAATCTAGGTTTTTAGGTGATAGGTTGGGGTCAAATGATAATGGATCGGTCGGTATTTGCGATCGCAATCTTGGGGTTCCTCTGCTTAATTATCGGGATTTTTCAATTTTCGCAGGTTTCTGCCAACGCCGAAGGTCTGTTCTTCTGTTTTGTACTTCAATTGAAGTGATTTTCATGCTTCAATTACGTTTTTACTTGAATTGAGTTTGACTGTATTGTAATTGATGTGTTTCAAGCCCGTTTCTTGTTTATTGTTAACTCAAATCTCAGATTGAAGACCCATTAAGTTTCTGTTTACAAAGCTGAGGGATTCGTTAGGATTTATTTTGAAGCTAATGAAAGAGTTCCGTTTTATATTAGCTGTAACTTTTGAAAATTTTCTCCTTTTTTGTTCTGTTCAGGAAAGTTTAACCGTTGACTTTACCATTGTAACAATGAAGAAAAACATATTTATGGTGCATCTGAGGTCTATTATTATAAAGTAGTTAACTCATATTTTGTTGGTTTTGCAAATAAATGTGTAGATTTGTTTGGTAGTATCTTAACTTGAATTTGTAAAACAGATGGTCCTTAATATTTGCTAATTGATTTATGCGCACAGGTGATGCCCTGAATGCGCTTAAGACAAACTTGGCAGATCCTAACAACGTTCTTCAGAGTTGGGATGCTACACTTGTCAATCCGTGCACTTGGTTCCATGTTACATGCAACAGTGACAATAGCGTTACTAGAGTGTGAGACTGCTTTGCCCTTTCCATAATTAGATACAAGAGTTGCATTTTAGAATTAACATTATCCTCCAATTATGGAAATTATTTTTGTGTGTGCTCAGTGATCTTGGAAACGCAAATTTGTCCGGTCAACTAACTCCGCAGCTTGGTCAGCTCCCGAATTTGCAGTATTTGTAAGTCATGCTTTGCAAAACATAATCACTTCATACACTTTTTCCCACTATATTCTTGTTGATTTGTTTACACTCATCTCTTTGTCACCTTACTATGGATTCACATTATACATTCTTCGACCGACAGGCGAAAGATGAAATCTTTGTATATTTCTTATATTTTCTGCTGATGGTCCAAAAGGAGAATGTGAACTGTTGAGGACACATCTTGTTTGTTGTTCCAATCTGTTTCGTGGGTTTTTATCTAGTTATGAGATTTCCCTCGAAAGGACATATTAATATACTATTTAGATGCCGACTGTACCGTGAGGTTCCGTGAAAAATTATATGTTCAATATTTTGAAAGCTATTAATATTTGGTTCATTTTTAGTTTGGTTACTCAAAGATCATATTTTTTATCCCTTCACTGACGTTTTACCTTCTTTAATCACTGTATTACTGAAAAAAAGCTAAAAAAGGTTTAATTTCCAGTGTTTGGTCCCTTTCCTCAAATGATGATGCAAAGGAAAAAGTAGTAATATTGCTTTAATTATATATTTAGAAATTTATATGTTTCTGTAAATTGCAATGCTGTTAAAGCATTTTATTCGTTGATCTGTAGTCAGAATATTGGCTACCTCACATATTAGACATTTGAGAGACCTTAGATTTACATGTCTATTGCTTTGGACCAATAATTTTTTGAGGCTGCTCTTTTTATTGGTGATATCTAGCCTTTGTTTGAGCTCCATTTTTCCAAAACTCATTTTCAACCGTACATTCCTTCAATAAAATAATTTTACACGTAAACCCGAAACTTTTCCTTACTTTTTAACGACGTATTCTTCAAAAAATCACTATTCGAAAATCTATTACCCCGAAAAAATGGGGCTCAAACAAGAGCTTAATTTACATATTATCATCTTAACCTTTGTGTACCTCTCATTTTTTATTTTTTTGATATGCATATGGCAGGGAACTTTACAGTAACAACATAAGTGGAAGAATTCCGAATGATCTTGGGAACTTAACCAACTTGGTGAGCTTGGATCTTTACTTGAACAGTTTAAATGGTCCCATCCCCTCGACCCTGGGCGAGCTTCAGAGATTACGTTTCCTGTACGTAATACAACATTTTTGTTTCTTATCTAAATATATTTTTTTGCTCTTTTTCCTTTTCTTAAAAGTTTTTGCCATTTAGAGAAAGGTTCCAAATTGGCCTTAGATAGTTGTTTACGAAAGCCCAATATGAACATTGTGTAGAATTCTTAATTGTTCATCCTATATTTTTCTCTTGTTTGAAAGTAATTTTGTTCTCCGTCTCTTGAGAATTGCTACAATATACCAAGTGAAAAATTGGGACAATGCTTGAATTTTTCAGCTCCTACAATGTTAAGGCCCAATAGACAAATTATATGTGAAGAAGGTATTAATGCATCAACTCCCCATGATTAGGTTCATTACTAATTACTGAGAAATTTTCAGGTTACTTTGGATAAAGCATGTTTTTATGTAATTAATCGCTCAGATTCTTCAAAACCTAATTATGTGTGTTTATTGACTACATAGGAGGCTCAACAATAACACTTTGACTGGAACGATTCCTATGTCTCTGACCAACGTCACTTCACTTCAAGTCCTGTAAGTAGAGGATTAATAAATTTCTTTTATCACTGGTGGTTTTCTTTGCTTCTTGTTTTTGGCAGACTAATGATCATTTTCACGTATAAACACAGTGATCTGTCAAATAACAATTTATCAGGGACGGTTCCAATCAATGGCTCCTTTCAACTTTTCACACCTATCAGGTTTAATGCAATTACTTCTGTCTTTTCCATGCTAGACTAAGTCACTCATCAAGGTCTTGTTCTGACTGTCGAGTTCCTATCTTCCAGTTTCAACAATAATCCTAACCTGATACCTCCTCCTGTAACTCCACCGCCTCCACTTCAACCGACAAACCCATCTTCATCGCGAGGTTCGTTAATTCTTTATAGTATATCTTTTTTTTACCTGAATAATTTCTTTTCCTTGCCCAGCACATGACAATAGGATATTAAGAAGATGAGCCTTGCTCGTATGACCTAGTGAATACGAACATAAGAGAGATCATAAGTTGGAAATGCTCTCTCATTAACTAACGGGAATATCTGATATATTTACTGCCTGCTTTTTGCATTTCCATTTAATGTGATCTCTAGACCATATAGTTAATAATTTTGTTCTCCTGTTTTTCAAACCGTAAAATTTTATTTATTTTTATGCTCATCAAATAGCTCATCACATTTTTTTAATTGGTATGCATTGAAAAACTTTTTGACTCTGGGACTGGTTAGGTCAAGGATTTTTTTATTATGTCAAACTCACACTTCACCATTTAATTAGTCATTTGAGTGGCAAAGACTTATAACTTGATTGCTGTTGCAGTTGGAAACAGTGCAACTGGGGCCATTGCAGGAGGAGTTGCTGCTGGAGCGGCTCTTCTCTTTGCTGCTCCTGCAATCGCGCTCGCTTTGTACCGACGAAGGAAGCAACCAGTTCATTTCTTTGATGTTCCTGGTTAGTGGACCTAAAGAAGGCTTTAGTTTATCATGATTATTGTGTAAAATGTGTTCTTAATTATCTTCTATTCATTGGCAGCCGAGGAGGATCCAGAAGTCCATCTAGGGCAGCTCAAAAGATTTTCTTTGCGTGAACTCCAAGTTGCAACGGATAATTTTAGCAACAAAAATGTTCTTGGCAGGGGTGGATTTGGCAAAGTTTATAAAGGCCGGTTGGCTGATGGTTCTCTTGTGGCAGTTAAAAGACTAAAAGAAGAACGTACACAAGGTGGAGAACTGCAGTTTCAAACAGAAGTAGAAATGATCAGCATGGCTGTGCATCGAAATCTACTTAGGCTACGTGGCTTTTGCATGACACCTACAGAACGTTTGCTTGTTTACCCCTACATGGCTAATGGAAGTGTAGCATCATGCTTAAGAGGTACTGCTTTTTATCATTTTCGTATATTCATTATTTGACTGAGTCACACACACACACACACACATATATATTCTGTGCGAAATGTTGCTTGCTGATAATAATGTTACTGTTAAAGAATATACTCTGTAGTTTAAGCAATGAAATATTTATAAGCATGATATTTATTAGAAACAAAATTTGATTTATGAGGACTAAAAGAGATTTGAAACTGGAAATAATACTCCTCCTTTAATTTATAATGAAAACCTTGATCTGAAAAATAATATAACATTGAGACCTTGATCTAGAGTACTAAGAAATTCTTTACACGAGATGCTAACTAAAATTTAATTTAAGATAATTCATTGTAGTATATGTAGTGCTTTTAAGTTCTTAAAAGCTGTGAGTTCTACAAAGTGTGGATAAAAAGTGTTTTGACCAGCTTAAGTTATAATTTAAGCTTTCCCAAACATGCTCTAATCTGCCACATGTATCACCCAAAGTATCTGAATTTGTTTTCTTGTTTTATGAATCTGACAAATAAGATTAATTATGCGATAAACTACCCAAATTTCTTCACTAGTTAAATGTAAGAAATGATTCGCTCTACTTTTCTTGGCATGTCATTTTTTGTGTATGGGAGAAGAAGAGTAGTATTTACTGCACTGTGGTGGATATAATTAACTAGTTTATTTGTAGATAGAGGGATAGTGACACTTGAACACTAGTGATCACTTCCCTTAGTAATTATAATGACACTACTTCTGGTTTCCACATTTATTTAATGTAGCAAAGGGGTGAATCGAAAGTCTCAATTCCCATTCACACTTGCCACAAATTTCAACTAATAAGATGTCTCTTTGTTTTACCAGTATTGTTGATATAGAAAGGGTACTAACTCTTGGCCACACACCTCACATTTGCCATTTGTTCCTTTTTTTCTCTCTCTTTCCAGGTTAATTTCCTTTTTGTTCCTTGTCATTTTTTCTTCTTATCACGGAAACTTGTCAACAGTTTTCAATGTGAATTTGCTTCTGCTTCTGCCACCATCAACCCTTGCCAGTTTATATCATACCACAACGATCAACAGCAACCAAGCTGATCCATTATTACGCAGACAAAATTAACAAGCAGATGTGTGTGTGTGACAGTGCGAGAGAGAGCGCACATGGAAGGAATGATCATTTATCATGACGATTTTGTAAAAAATGACAGTTAGACGTCTTTGGTTTGATAATGATATTGGTGCTGGTGGACTGCAAAAAGTGGTCCACTAGAGTCATGGCAAATGTGGTGGTGGTTTAAGCAAAATTTTATAATTAATTTCATATATTGTGATATGGATCTAATAATGCTGCTGAACATGATCTGGCAATGTTGATATTTGACAATGTAGTATCTGGAAAGGCTCTACTTTATAATTTTATATTGTTATTTTTGTTCTAATAGCTTATTAATGCATTATTATAGAGCGATCCGAATCACAACCTCCACTTGATTGGACAATTAGAAAGCGTATAGCATTGGGAGCTGCAAGGGGGCTTGCTTATTTGCATGATCACTGTGATCCTAAGATTATTCACCGTGATGTCAAAGCTGCAAACATATTGTTGGATGAAGACTTTGAAGCAGTTGTTGGTGACTTTGGGCTGGCCAAACTCATGGACTACAAGGATACTCATGTTACCACGGCTGTACGTGGCACAATTGGTCATATAGCTCCTGAGTACCTCTCCACTGGTAAATCTTCCGAGAAAACTGATGTTTTTGGATATGGAGTCATGCTTCTTGAGCTCATTACTGGGCAGAGAGCTTTCGATCTGGCTCGTCTTGCTAATGACGATGATGTGATGTTACTTGATTGGGTGAGCACTATCATTTTCCCTTTTTGTACATCCTTCAATTAGATAATAAGAGATTCTTGTGTAGTCTTCAATGTCGAACCTTGCAATAGATGGAAAAAATTACATTGCTCCATTATATTCTTGTGCTCAATGATACTCACCTAAAATAATACTACGTCCTTTATGGCCTATACAGGATTGGATATTATCAAGGAAGGAAAGAAGCTTAAATCTTGATCATAATATTGTGAATCTTGTTTAATACTGCTAACAAAATGTGCACTTGTGTTTTTGCGTGCTTTTCCCTTTGGACTTATTATTTCATTTACTTGACTTGAATTTCAGGTTAAGGAACTTCTAAAGCAGAAAAAGTTGGAAACTTTAGTCGATGCAGACCTACAGGGCAATTATATTGATGAAGAGGTGGAGCAGCTAATTCAAGTGGCTTTGCTTGGCACACAAAGTTCCCCTATGGAACGTCCCAAGATGTCGGATGTTGTCAGGATGCTTGAAGGCGATGGCTTGGCCGAGAGGTGGGAGGAGTGGCAAAAGGAAGAAATGTTCCGTCAAGAGTTCAATCACACCTACCACCCGAATACTGACTGGATAATTGCCGACTCCACTTCCAATGTCCGACCGGATGAATTATCCGGGCCAAGATAAACTTCAATGATCAACATATATAAAACTCACGGAGGCCCTCTGTTTTGAATGATAATCGCCGTCTTTGTAAATGATCATATATTTTTCGATTTTTGTTCAGGTCACCATTTGACATTTTCATGTGCAAGCAGCAGAAATGGCTGTGGACTTCTCTGTCAATGTATATTTCTTTTTATGTATTGAATAGTGAAAGCATAAAAAAATAAGCAGAATTGTTACAACAGAGGAATCAATCACTTGCTCTCGAGAACTTGTACCTCCACGTAAGAGATTCAAGTTCCAATTTAGCTCTGTTTGGCAGATAGCATTTAACGATGAGAAACATCGTTGAATAAGAAAAAGAAGCTAAAATTTTATTTATACTACTGTTCAATTCGTCCAATACTAATTGCTTGGATACAACTCCATAATGAGGCTTGCACAACGTTTGTCGCGGCTCTTTTCTCAAGAAATCGAGAATACTCACCACAGATACACGACGGGAAATTAGCTTTAAAGGAAAATACACTAAAAGCTTTTATTGGGAGTTTCATCACTTAGAAGAACAAAATCCACAGATACACGACGGGAAATTAGCTTTAAAGGAAAATACACTAAAAGCTTTTATTGGGAGTTTCATCACTTAGAAGAACAAAATCTAATGCTCTCTAAATCTGTGATTCTAATAACACATGAACATCATTCACAATCAAGACTCCCATCTCATGACAATAGTTGAACTAATTACAACTTTTGCCTAGATTATCATTTTTAAATTTCATATGGACTAAGATAGCCCTGGAAAGTAACCTAAATTCCATTGGCTTTTTTGCACTTTTGTCCTCATCGTACTCATACTTCTTGTATTTAGCCCATATTTGTCATTCTTTAAAATTTTAAGGCTGTGTCTGGTAAAAATTATTTTCAGTTTTCAATCAATTTTTGGACCGTTATTACACAAAATGCAGGGCCCAGCATCACACAACAAAGTCCACTATGGCGGCTGAACGGCTAGAATTGCAATTAAAATTGGAAAATGATCTTTACTAGATGGGCTCTAAATTGTTTGCTACAGTACCATTCTTCATCACACATTCACACAATAAAACATTCTATACACAAACTAATAAAGTTTCCTTACTTTTTAACCACACATTCTCCATCAATCTACTATTCTATAATAAATTACAAGAAATTAATGGTTCTGAAACAGGGCCTTATCTCGGTTACCTAACTTGATGTTTCCTATGCAAGAGTGGTCCTTTTTGTCCATTGTAGTCTAAACTGGCCATTAAAGGCTCCTGCGGACTGCACATGCTTTATTTCAGAAGGAAAATTTTATCCAATCACTTATAAAATTAAAAAAATAGATAAATTGAACCAGGGGTCTCAAACCTTTTAATAAAGTGCCATGGGGTCCAAAATCTTTTGTTTTTGACCTCTAAATTTATATCCAGTGCGAGGTCTCTAGAACTACATATTGGTTAAAATTTGACCAATTTAAAAAAGGACAAAAGGGTCCATAAATTATCCCATTTATTAAAAAAAATTCAAAAAACGAGATCTTAAATAAAAGAAATAAAAATGGATAAACAAAATTTTGAGAATGAGAAAAAGCTAATGGTTTTCTTCTAAATACGTAACCTATAGATCAATTAATGGTTTTCTAGGTGAAACCATTCAAGGGACCTCGCATTACATATTAATTTAAAGATCAATGGACAGAAATGCCCACTTGCAAAGGAAACGTTGATTTTAAGGATTTTTTTGTCAAAAGTGAAGGGATGACTCCGATACCGTAGGAATCAAGAAGGATAAATCTACTTGTACATCAAATGATGTACATCAAGGTCTACACCCCGATGTACACGATGATGT